TCCATGGCCAACCAGAACCAGCTGGAGCCTGTGTCTCTGCATGGACACTCTGGGATGGGGCTGGAGGCCGTTAACGTGTCCCCCATCACTGCTGAGGTTTCTCTGGGGCCGGAAAACAACCTGGTGCTGGTGAACTCGACGCTGCAGCTCGAGGATTCCTCTTCCAACAAGGAGAACATGGTCAATGCTTACAGCATCTGTGAGTTTTTAACTTCAAGTCTCCTATCCACGAAAAGATGGATGCAAGTAAAATCGATAGCTTATGGAGAAATCTTTAAAGCTAATGTGCATTTTTGTTTTAGGGTGCACACTGTGTGAGTGCTCATATACCTCAGACTGTCCCGAGCACGGCCCAGTCACTTTCATCCCAGATGCTCCCATCCAAAGCCGGGCTCGCCTCTCTCTCCCGCGTCCGCTGTGCCTGCGTATCTCTGTTGCCGACGAACCGCTCGGTAAGAAAAGAAACTTGATTATTAATGAGGACAGACCTCAGATGTTACTCTAAGCTCATGTTTAAATGTGCATGTGGTTGCACTCATAGGAGTTTTTGCACGGGACGTCATTCCACCAAGGACCTGTTTTGGACCAATGGTTGGCCAGCATTGTAGCAACGTGGACCTCTCTGATTGGCCGGAAAAGGACACACCTCAAATATGGAAGGTTAATCTTGTGGCCCTTTGTTAGGAGTGCAGTTGCCACATTCAATACAAAACCACGATGAAAGCATGGGAACGCATGATAAACAAGTTTTTCTGTCACAGATGTACCACAACAACGTGCTAGAGTTCTGCATCGTGACAACAGATGAGAACGAATGCAATTGGATGATGTTCGTCCGCAAAGCTCGGTGAATGCTCGTGTTTTTATATGCCATTGTTGCCTACATTACCCACAGTGCAAATTAAAATTAACACGTTTTTGTTTGTGTGTCCAGGACACATGAAGAGCAAAATCTGGTGGCGTACCCTGCTAACGGTAAACTCTTCTTCTGCACAACCACTGAGATCCACCCGGACCAGGAGCTGCTCTTCTATTACAGCAGAGACTACTGCAGGCTGATGGGTGAGCGGACATGACTAAATATGTCTAACCCTCTGTATAAAGTTAAGGAACCCTCATTTAGTACGAGTGTGAGTAAACAGCTGGACCCATTGTCTGACCCTACACTGGTGCAGTGGGTCCTAGGTACCTCCTGGTACACAATAATCATATGGTGAGATCATGCAGGCAGTTCCTGGAGGATGAAGGAATAGGTGCCATTGACTGGCCCATGCTCTCAACTCTCTAACCTCCTTTTCTTTGGTTCTCAGGTGTTACACAGGTACCCGAGGGTCAGATCTGCCAGTGTGGCAAAGAGTGCTCCTCCTTCTCTGACCTTAAGTCTCATCTTGGCAGCCATAACAGTAACCACAGCCATACCCAACCTCCACACAGCCACAGCCCATCACAGCAGGACCACAATCAACAACAGCAACCACCAACTCAGCAGCAACAGGAGCAGCAGCCCCAGCAACACTCTCACCAGGAAGAGAAGCTGACAAATGAAACCTCTAGCTCCTCCTCTTCCCCGTGGCCCTGTCACAACCCTGCTGCAGGGCAGACAAACACTGACACCGGCGCCAGCAGCGGGGGCGGCAGTGATAGAAACTCTGATAACATTACCTCCAGGGCAAAAGGTCAGGGCCACGTGCGGGAGAAGAAATTCAAATGCAGCATGTGTACTCGGGCGTTCATTACATCCACTAAACTCAAGGTGCACTTCATGGGCCATGTGGGGATGAAACCTCACAAGTGCGAGTACTGTAGCAAAGCGTTCAGCGACCCCAGCAACCTCAGGATGCACCTGAAGATTCACACAGGTAGGCACAGCGTAAATGGTGTAACTTCAGATGCTCGGCACACAGACTGATTAACACATGCACACATGTTTTCGCACTGACAGGTCAGAAGAACTACAGATGCACAGTCTGCGAGAAGTCGTTCACCCAGAAGTCCCACGTGGCGTCGCACATGCTCATCCACACCGGGGCGGAGAAGCTCAAGTGTGACCTCTGCGATCGAGCGTTCATCAGGAAACACGACCTGAAGCAGCACATGTTCTCTCACACACAGTGCGTCACTTCATTGCTTTAAAGGTCAACAGATGGATTGTACTCTCAGAATCCAAAGTGTCTAATAGTTGTTTTTAAATCTCCTTCATTTCTCAATGACAGCGAGCGGCGGATTCAGTGCCCAAAGTGCAACAAACACTTCCTCAAGACCAACCACCTGAAGAAGCACATGAACTCTCACGAGGGCCGCCGAGACTTTGTGTGCGAGAAGTGCAACAAAGCCTTCCTCACCAAATACCACCTCACGCGCCACCTCAAGATCTGCAAAGGGCCCAAGACAGAAAGGGGGTCCCGCAAGGAGCAGGACGCTGATGACGAAGACGAGGAGGAAGAGGAGGAGGAGGAGGAGGAGGATGACAGCAGAAGAGGAAGAGAGAGACTGGTTGACTCGGCCAATAGTGAAGACTGCGGTTTAGATGTCGGTGGATATAACTCTGAAAAGTCCCTGTCACCCCCTCACTGACAACACTGTGCCTGTTGAGATGTTTTATTTATTTAAGTTCACAAATCTATCAGTGTTTACCTCTCGTTTTTGCCAAATATAACTTTCTGAATATATAATAAAATATTTGGCCATCAGTACAATTGAACTGCCACATTTTTGTCTAGTTTCTCACAAGAGCTGCTAAAATAATCTGAGATCTGACTGTATTTTCTTTCCTCTCATGACTCAGGCCTGTGTAATTACTGGTTTTTGGGTTTCATATAAGCTATCATTTATTCATTATTTTTCCCTTGATCTTAATTCTTCAGCTCACTCAGTAATGTGGCTGATAAGCCTTTTTTTGCTACACAGTAATATGGTGCATTATCCCACACTGAGTGTTGAAGTAATGTTGCAGCTTTATACTGTGTAATGCATATTTTAATAAATGAACAACTGTGTTATAGAGCAGACTGATATTTTTTTATGTGTCATCTTAAGTTGCAAAGAAAATTTGGCAACTTTTTTTCAAAATCCTGCAAATCTGTTAACTCAATGACATCATCTAGACTTTCAAATTAACACCATTCACGCTTTACCGAGAGAGTAAAGGGTAGCACTGCTGATGTCAGCATTTTTTTTAGTACTGTTAACAAATTGTAGAGCATGTTTTTGTGACGTATGAAGTCGAGCATGCCAGCCAGGAAGTAATGGCTTAATTACACCTGAGTGATACTAGGAATAAAAATAATGACAACCATCAGTGCTGCCCCTCAGCCTCCTGGTAAATGCACCAGGAAATGATAAATACATTTGAAAGTCTTCTTGAGGATTTATCAGAGAGTTATCAGATTTGCAAGATTTTCAGAAAAACGTTACCTTAAGGTCCGGGTCAACAAGATTTTAACACCTCTGAGATTTTTTAGGTGATGCACCTATGGTATAGATTTGAAAATCCCTAATTGCATTGTTCTCAAGTTACCTTGTTAATGAAGTTGGGTGTCCATGCTACCCGTCTGCCCGCCTGCCAACAATACCTCATCAGCCTTCTACAGCGGAGGGGTAAAAGTAAGTCTTGTGACTAGGAAAATCGTAGTGTTTGCTTAGTGATTGCACTTCTTTTTAATTCTGTAACCGACCACTTTAGATTGTAAGGCAATTGTACAGGTTGCCTGGTGGGACGCAACATGTCTCCAAACTGACTGCAATCACTCGCCAGATAATTTATAAATGCAAACTGATTTCGCACACACTGCGATCACTCTGAGCCAGCTACAGCGAATGAGCCCAACTGAGTGCCTATTTCATTCTGAAGTTCTGCAACAATGTCACTATTAGTGGAGGAATTTCAACATTCATACTCCAATTGGAGAGAAACTTGGGGTTAGTATCTTGCCCAAGGAAATTTGGCATGCAGACTGGAGCAGCCAGGGATTGAACCATCAACCTTCTAATTTGTAGATGTACTTCCTGAGCTACAGCCATCCCTACTTATTGTAAATTCCAGTAAATGCAGACAGTAATAGATTCTTTTTTTTTAAATTACAGCTAATCACAATATTTCCATAAAAAGAATGTTTGATTTCATTGAATGCAAGCTGATTGAAACCAGACTTACTGCTCTGAAGAGAACTCACTGTGACCCATCTTTGAAGTAACCACTTCAAAATACCACCTTAAACCATTGTCCCTTCAGTGACTTCTCACAGTCCAGGCCCTGAGGTGGCAAAGCAGCCCAAAACCATGATGCTCCCTCCACCGTGCTCTACAGTGGGGCTGAGGCTTTGCAGCTGATGTCCTGTACCGTGTCCCCTCGAAACAGTGCTGTATATTTTTGTTTCTCCGGTTTTTTATTTTGTTTTGTTTTGAACAACTCTTCCAGGATTGTTTCTTGAGCTCTTCTTGTAATTTTTACAGGACACCCTCTAAAGACAGTAGCAGCAACAGTCATTTAGCTATCAGCAGTTTTTCTTCATGTGAATTGATGATCATTCTTTTGTTCACTTTTCCACCAATGTGAATCTCTGTACTTCTTATTAAGTGATCAACTACTGGTTGTAACAGATGGCTGCACCTCCCTGAGCCTGGTATAGTTTAAGGTTTCATCCTGTTAAAAGTAAATTTGTCTTCCCACTGTTGCCAACTGCTAACTCGTTGGTGGTTCGTGTGATTGTTGGGGTTGTCTTGCTAATAATATAAATATGAATATAAAACACCTTGAGACAACTAGTTTTGTGACTTAGTGCTATATAAATTACATTGAAATGAACGTAATTAAAACTGAGACATGGGCTAGTCTCTCAAATTTGTAAGCCTTTATTATAAATGAGATTACTTTGCTTTAAGTGTCTTTTGGAGAAGTCCTAAACACAGAGGATCATTTATTGCACTTACTCAGTGCATTCAGTAAAGGAAAAAAAAATTAATTTGCTCATGTGGTATCAGTTTAGTCGTGTTGTGTCCATCCATTTCAGACAGTATCTCCAAACATGGAAACATTTCATTTCATAAAGAATCAATGCAGTGATCCAGGTGTATCTATTATTCAACTGTACGTCTACATACAACTGAATATATTCACAGAGTCTCTTACAGTTAGAATATGATTTATTCACGTGCCCAGCAAGCACATTTACAGAAACTAGAAGGTGTTACGGTTCAAATGAAGCCTCGTGCATCTTTTTCTGGACTTGCAGTTGTTATTTAATATACTTTTACATTTTAATTAGGCAAATAGTGCAGGAACGAATTTGTGGAAATGCTTGGATGTTGACATAACCCTAAATGTGTCATCAGCAGCAGAGAGCTGATAAAGAGGTCAACGTTAAATGATAGTCATGAGGAATTAACAAATGCAGCACATTCAACACGTCAGTCGAGTTATTCAAAAACCTTCCAGTCAGGCTGGTTCACTGCACACAAAGCAAAGAAAAAAAATAATGTATCATTTACTATCATTTATTAATTTAAATACATATTTACATGCAAATAACTGTATGATATCCAGTTAAATGTAAGTTTGGGGTGTAATACACGTGTAAGCTTATAGTCAGCAGTTCTTCAGTGCATGGAGTTGATTGAGGAGAGCGTGTTTTTCCTGTTCTAACAAGGATATTTGACAGTTCTTGTTCTTCACCGCCTGTTAAACATGAAAAATGACAATGTTACACAAAGGGACAAATCATAAGAACGCGGATGCAAAACTTATTCACGTAACTTTATTAAAAGCTCTTAAAGAAGATGTTTCAATAATTTAATTTAATTAAAATGTATTTCTTCTACCTCCTTGAGGGTTGTTTCTTTACCTGAGTCAGTACTGAGTTGTGCCACCGGAGGTCACTGTCTGCCACTGCTTCAAGCAGAGAGGGGTTGCTGCTGGTCATGGCGTTGGGATCACTCATCACAGAGCCCAGTGAACCGTTCACGCGCTGGATACGAGACCTGAGGAGGCAGGAGCGAGCCTGAGGACAGGCACACAGAACTGTTATTAAAGGATTAAAGGATTATTCTATTAGTGGGCTTAGAAACACCCGAATGGATGCCAAGCATAAGTCTCATCTTCATGATTGAAGAGATGAAAATGAAATAGATGCTTAAAATGATGTAATTACAGGAAATGTTTGTCGTTTAGGAATGAGGCTGAAGTCTTGCACAATTTTTCAGATACTGACCACTAAACTTGGACGCTGTGCATGCTAAAATTTATGGTAAGGCCCGATGCAACTTCCATCCTTCAGCCTCGACAACAAGGCAGCCAGTTGTGATTCATGTTGCTTTTATACCAGCATACGAAGTGTTACAATTACAAGCCTTTTCGAAGTCAGAAGGAAGTTAAGACTGTAATCATTCATCGTTATTAAACATGACAGCCTGATTTCAGTAAAATCAAAGAGGCCCTTCTCTGTACCTCTGCTCCATCTTCATTTCTGGAGACAAACCCACTTCTGCTTTCGATGCTATCCTGCCAAGCCCCGTTCTCCTCCAGCCGCTGGAGATACCAGAGCCGAGCCTTCTCCAGAATCTCCAGACCAGACCACAGAGCGTCCTTCTCCTTCTCCAGATCCTTCAACCGTTTAATCTGAAACACAAAGAAGCAAAATGAAATGGAGAACTTTGGATTTGTGCTGAGTTATATGATAGAACCAGTTTTGGTATGTCCCTGTGTACTAGGCTAACGTGTTTGACCTTCAGGTTCATGTATAGAAGCATGTAAACCAGAGGCCCTGAGGCACTGTGTACCAGGCAACACTGAGCAGTAGGTGGCCTTTAGCTCTTTTGTCTATGCCCAGCGGGGTTACAGGCTCTTTAAATAGGCTGAAACAAAGACACAGTGAGAAACATGACATGTGGTGGTGGGGATTCATGACTTCAGAACATTAGAGTCACTGTAATCTCAACGACAATGAGGCCGAAAAAAATAACATTAGAAACTCATGTGGTTTAAGTAGATGAACTGACTCTATTCTCTATTTTAGAGTTAATAGTCTAAATTTATTCTGGCTCGGCTGCTGATCGTTAGTAGATTTACTGCTAACGGAAAACTGGTTACACTGATCCTTCAACAGGAAGCTGTGAAGATCGAGCTTGACATGTGGGAATGTGTCACTGGGATGACTGTAGAGTCACGCTACCCCGAATAAAGCAAAGATAGAAATGACTGAACGCAACCTGACTCAACACACGCACTTTACACATACAACGATATGGTACGTGAAAATTCAACTTGTCTGAAAAACACACAGTGAGTGAGTGTGCTGTTCAAATGGAAAACAAATTTAAGCTATTAGTATTAATGAGACATGCTCTTAATTTGAATATTGCTAACATGACCTCTTAATCCATGGCTGTCAACCTTATGTTATCAGTTTGCCACATATGATTCAGTTGTGATAGTTAACCAAAAATGTACATTGTGAAAACATTCAACTCTCTGAGAGCCTTGAGAAAAAGAGATCAGGTTCAATTGACCCTGTGCACGAGAAAATGCTAACTTCCTGGTTTGAGACCGGATGTGGGGTTGTACATTTCCGGTAGCTTTACTTTGCGGTCGATCGCTACTGCGAAGATACACTCCAAAATCATGTCCAAAATTCGAAAACGGAAAGATCGCGTTAAGTTACAAAGAGCAGAAGGTGGGAACACTCACCACTGTTCTGTCATAAAAAAATCTAATGATCAATTTTGACGTTTAAAGAGTTTAGATCGATCAGTTGTTTACATCACTCAACACAAGCAGAACTGCAAATGCCCAAGACATCTATAGAAATGTAAATCGCCGCTTGATTTATTCATTTGCTTAACTTGTTTTGGACCGTAAACAAGGCGCGAATAGGACACCGGAAACAAGCTCCCCACAGGAGTTTCCGCACCGGAAGTAGCATATGCTAACGTGCACATAGTCAATATTATCTACAAGTTTGTCACATTGAGTCGGCTTACTGTTATCACAAATAAACACTACATTTAAAAAGAAAAGAAAGGAGAAAGCATATACACCACTGGGCTGGTTAGCTGTTAGTGAGAAAACATGCACATTTGCTCTATAGTTTTCTCTGTTTTCTTGTCTCAAATGTGTTAATGTTTAAAAGAAACCATTAGACTTGCGACTATTTCTGCCGTGACCTTAACTCCTAAAAAATCCATATTTTTCCTGTTAGAAAATGTAAAATTCATGAGAAGTTAAAAAACGTGGTGAGCGTGATATTTTATAATAAACATACTGACATTAGCAGAATATAGTTTCCCTACCACAAGAGAACAACTGCAAAATATCATGGCAATTCCACAGGCAGTATCAAAGATGAAAGTAGTCACCGTCTGTGACGTCCCCCAATGGTTTTGGACTCAGCTGCCATATATGGAAGAAAGGGTGGAGCCCTAATTTACCAAGCTAACTCTAGCTAGCTTGGTCAGAAAGCTGCATTCACAAACTGTTTGGGTGCAGGAATAAGTTAATTGAGCCAATTAATGCTGAGACTAACAAGCCCAAGGCAGGTGAGTTATTAAAAAGAGAAAACTACCCACACAGGCCCAAACCCTATTTTGTACCAGGCAGTAAATATGCTTTTTAATCTCTAAACCTCAACCTTTGAATGTATGAGTCTGTGGAGATTAACTTCATTTTGGTGCCAGCCTCAAGTGGCAGCTACAGGAACTGCAGTTTTTGCCACTTTTTCAGCTCTGGAGTTTGCCCCTTGGTAGCACCTATTAAACTTCTCTCCCATGGATAAAAATATAATGGAAGCACTGTTTAAAATATAGTTTTTGTTCTTCACTTTCTTTTTAATTATCGACTGAATGGTGACTGATATCACTGCACAGATATCAGGCTGATCTTGTTTTTGATGCCTGGTGTGATTTTCTGATGGTTGTGGTGTGTTGCACGGTACATCATCAAGACTATAGCTGTAATAGCTAACTACAAACTATTTTAATAGTCAATCAATTGTTTTGTTAATTAGGTCATGTGACATGGGTTGCAGGAGGTTGTTACTTATTATTTGGTTCATAAGCGTAAACCTTTTTTTCTTAAATGTTAATAATGCAATAATAGGATAGTTTAGAAATGCTGTCATCACACATTTTATTCAGCAGAGCAGCTCCAACATTTATCTCAGCACTGTTTGCAGCACGTGCAGCAGAGTAGCACTGCAACTGAACAGAGGGTGGTGCATCATCATTATATGAATCCAAAATGTGTTCCCCAATGGTGTGTCGAGGCACACTTCTGTGCTGTGTGAGGCAAGTCTAGCTGTGTGCTGGAATTCAATAACAGTCAGAACTTATTACTGCTAGACAAAAAGATACGGATGAATTGTTAATTCACCGTTTCAGTACTGTGCAAGCAGTGTTTACCTGAGGCAAATCATACAAAAAAAAGCTTTTTGCACAGCTGCCAAAAGTTGGATGTTATTACAGCATGACACATGAAAAACCTGACTGACAGTGAGAGTAGAGAGCCTTGAGCCTGTCAAGTAACTTGAGTAATACTCCACCAAGCAATCTAAGGAGGCACTTGGAAACCACAAAATCCTCTTTTGCAAAACTTATCCAGCTTTAAAAATGCTGAATTTTAACTGCTGAATCTGAATCAGTGGCAGAAGTAGTTTGTTTGATTGTGTCAGGGTGTTGTGCGGGGCTATAGAGGCATGGTATTCACCAGTTGAGTTTAACACAAAACAGAATAAATGTAATAAAACCTCAGACGGCAGCAAAAAATGTGCAGATATCATGTTAGGCATATTATTAAAATTGCCTTTGTCCTACAGTGCAATCAAAGAATGAACTGAGGATGACTCGTGTGACACTGAATTAGCTTTATGCAGACATGAAGACTTAAAATTGGAAGTTTTTACCTCTTTAAATTTGCCTAAAAAGTTAAAAAAAAAAACTTTTTCGTCTGTGAGACTACACTTGTTTTTGCATTGTTTGCTGTCTGTTCAAAGATTAATGAAAAGAATTGTTTAACAATCTCAGTTCTAATCAATAGATAAGATTTCTGACATTTATGTCCCTGCACTTTAGTTGTTTGTGTTTCTTGGCACTCGTTCCTTGTAGCTTGTACCGGTTGAACTTAGTGAAATATGCTGCCATTTAGCCTAGATAAACTTGTCTCTTTATAAGAATACTATAAAATAATGAGCAAATGAGTCAAAATCAACACAGAAATGATGGATGTTACATTCCAGAGAAGTGGGAAAAGTCAGGTTATTGCAGGTTGGCCAAATGTGCCAAACTAGTGACACTTCCCCAGAGACAGAAGAGGCCATCAAAAGCATATTTAGTATACAACAGTCTGATCATTCATACAACTGCTGAAAAAAACAGGGAGACAAAACAGATGATGTAAGTACAGACACACAGACAAATACCACCTCTTTCCTCACCCATAGGTAGAAGCGAAGTGCGTCCACGCTGCACAGACTGGTCTTAAGCGGGATGATAACCACAGTGTAGGAGCCAGAGCTGGAGGGATGATAGGCCATGGAGAGCTGATCAGTCACTGACAGCTACTGCTACCCCATACAGCTGGGTTGACCACAAACAACAAACCATAGCTTGCCACTGGCTGACTCAGAATAATACCGCGGGGAGAGAATGAGTGTGCATGAGTGTGAGAAAGAGAGAGAGAGAGAGAGAAGGCAGGACTGGAAAAAAAAAGCAGCACGATACACAGGCGCAGGCAGTATGGTGCCCCCGGGGCGAGGTGATGAAAAATTCCACATGTCACTGACTGGTTGATCGACAACCAGTGACAAAGAGAGGGAGAAGCGGGGTTGGAGAGGGGGTGAGACTGGCACTGCGCGATCAAATATGAGAGAAAAGACAACAAAAGGTGAAAAAGCACCCAGCAGGAAATATGAAAATGAAGCTGCGGATGGGAGATTTGAGGGGAGGATACAGGTGTGGTTACACACTTATCAGCTCCTGATGTGTTTCCATCAGTGTCATAACAGCAGGGGGGAGGGGGGGGGGCTTGTTTATCCCAGATTTACAGCAGAAGGCCAGAGGAGGAAAACAAGGCTGTGTTTCACAAACACTCTGAATTTTCCAAGAAGATACGAAGAAGTTGTCCCTCAGCTCAAGGAAAATCATGCTAATCTGCAGCTAGGTGCAAAGGAAGGGCACGAACTCACTTTCTTGTTAGTTTCAGGTGAGCTTTCTGTCCCGACATGTTGCCTGGAATGTGACATAACCTGAGGATGAGAGATCAAGCACAGAGGTGTGGAGCACTGAATGGAGCTGCTAAACAAACTTGACTATGGCGAGTATAGTTTGGAGTTTGGGAGCAAGTACAGGAGATAGAGACTTCAGTAGGCTCAGTTTATCGACACTAACATCATTACTATCAGCGCTCAGCTGTTCAGTTAGTCGATGGCAACACAGAAAATCTGCAACACATGTTATTCATTAGGGCCTCAGGCTAAAGTGGCTGTTATGGATCCAACAGCAGCCCTGTTGGAGAGATTTTAGTGCAACTTGTGAGGGAAAAATATATATATAGCAAATAAAATCCGCTACTGTGCCCCCTCAGATTGGTTCTACGATTAACCTCTACAACAATGTGTTAAATATATGTTATACTAGCGTTTTGCATCAAGCACAGAACTACCATCAATAAACGGACAAAACCCAACTCTGGAGGTACCCCTCCTGTTTTGTGTGAGGGCGTTTTGTGTTCAAAAGAGAGGTCATTCATTAGCTTGTGCAGCTACGCTATGGACAAAAGTGCTCCCTTTTAAAGTGGACACGTAACACTACATGCATAAAGGCTAATTTACATCATGGATCCCTGCTCTCAAAAACTGACACAGATGTAACACTGTCTGTGAAGCTGGATTTAAGAAATAAGAGCTAAAAGTGGGAATTTTAAGAACTTATTTAGCACCATCTTCATTAAGTACAGAACGTGGTTGGTTGGTTGCTGCTGATAGACTTACATTAGTTTATTTTGGCTAAGTAGAAACAGAACCAATAACTCTGTGGAATATAAGGAGACTAAACCTACAAATCTGTTTCACTTTTGTGCTGCCCCCTGGCCGCTGCAATGAATTTTATGTTAGTCAAATTAATTGGATTTTGTTAAATGGCAAAATTCAGCTGTTAGCTGTAATGTTTGGGATTGTGAAGCACCTTATAAATGAGACTGTGTGGAGGAGAGCTGAGTGCAGAGTATAGGCTGACTCAGAGCTCCACATCTCCTCTAGCATTAACAGGAACGTAAAAAAACTGTGCATTAGTCCATCAAATCAGTGCTGACTTCCTTTCTTTTGAAATGACCAGATTTTTACTGCATTGCATCTTGGCTGATGATGGGCACTAGTCAGATGTGATGATGTGACATGACAGTGAAAGTTAAAAGCTCTGTAAGTGAAGATGTTTCTTCCAGCTGCGGTGGTGTGTGTGTGTAATTCAAGGTAGCAGAAGGCTGGAGGATCGTTTGAGCTCAGAGCCTCTGAGCTACATTGAACTATGCTGGTCGGGTGTCCGCACTAAGTTCGATATTGATATGGCTCTTGGGGGAGAGATTGGAGATTGTCCAGGTTGGAGACAGAGCAGTTCAAATCCTTCTCGCTCAGTAGTGGGGTTGAGCTTTGGATAGATGTTGTGTTGCAGCCTGAGTCAAGTGTAATTTTTCTCTCTGCTGTAAGATGAATGTGTCCTAACCCAGGGAGGGGCCACTTGCCCCTCCCTTTCTCCCCTCCCCATCCTCAGCTGCCTTCCTCTTCCCGCTCGGACTTTCGGACTTATCGGACTTTCATACGCAGCAGCTCAAAGCACTTGTGTCTCTTCCAGCTGCTGAACACTACCTTGTGAGCAAAATAAATAAGTGCTTAAACACGGTTAATATAACAGTAAAGACATGGAAAAAACATTGTAAACCAGGTTATTGCGGAGCAGGTGTTTAATATTCCAAACACATTCAGAGAGTTCACTCGACACCTCATCCTCGTCTTGAAAACGCACCCACACACACGCAGGGCTTGGGGTGCATGTCTGTCACCAGGGTGCAGGGGAGGCACTCCCCCTCTGTCCCCTTCTGGCCGCCTGTGCCTCAATTTTATTCCGCAACCTAGACATCCGCATTAACCACACTCTCATAACACACACATATAGGGCCTTGGGGGTGGGCACGTTATACAGCATCCAGGGGATAGTCTGTGTATTCAAACCCACCTCTGGCGCTGGTGCCCTACCCTCAATTTTAAATGCATATAGACACTGAGGGTTTTCGGGAGGAGCCGTGCTGCTCTCTGGCAGGAAGCACCATGCCCTCTTGTGTTTTAAATGCACTTCTTCACTCACCCCCGTTCTGTTAACCATCAGGTCTGGGGGGCTGGGAGGTGCTGGCCGTCGGATTGGGGTCTGGGATGCGGGGCCTCCCTGCTACTGCAGATAAGGAGGCGGTCTGCTTTCCTCCACCCCAGAGAGAAGGGTTACATCTCCTGGGTCTGGGTACGGTTTGCCCCTCTGGGGGCAGGGGTACCCGGACATGGGATATAGAGTATGTTTGTGGGGTGTGAATGTGTGTACAGTGTCTATTTATGTCTGTCTACACGTCGGGTGAGTGCTGAGTATTTGTTTGTGTATATGGGGGTGGGAATGCACGTTTGTGTCTGCGTGCGCCTGTTCGTCTGTGTCTATATGTCAGCTTGGGTCTTAGACTCCACCTCTCTGGGTACATCTTAGGCTCTACGAGGTATGGAGGCCTATCTCCCCTC